CCAGCCCCGCCCCGCCTCGCCCCGCGCACGTACCAGCCGGCGGATCTCGCGCTCGCACTCCTTCTTGATGCGGGAGAGCTCCTCCCGGTGCAGGTGGTACACGCTCCGGATCTCCGCCGCCTTGATCTTGTCCGCCTGGATGACCATGGTCAGCGCCTCCTCCACCTGCCTCTTGGCCCCCTTCAGCTCGGAGATCTCCTGCTGCATCTTCACCTTCTCCACCTCGAAGCCCTTCTTGGCCTCCTCCTTGGCCTCGGTCAGCAGCACCGTGCGCAGCCGGTCGGGGGCGCCGTCGCGCAGCGCGTGCAGCAGCGCCTGCAGCCGCTGGTTCTCGTGGTCCTTCATCTTGATGACGCGCAGCAGCTCGGCCTCGTGCTGCCGCAGCAGCGTCTCCCGCACGGCCTGCAGCTCCTTCATCTTCTCCTCGTGCAGCTTGCTCTTGAGCTCCGTGAGCAGGACGGCGTTCTTGTGCTGCTCGTGCTCCCGCACCTGCCGCAGCTCCTGGTTCTTCTCCCGCTCCACGCGGCTGACCTGCGGGCGAGAGACAGCTGTTGTCTGTGAGCCGCCCTCTGCCGTTGCTGAAACCCGCCTACAAGTTCTGGAAAGGTTTCTGGGTTTTGTGTTTTTCGCCTGGAAGCACAGCTGGCCGGGGAAGTAAGACCGCAGACACATGTCCCCGAGTATCTGCTGCGCGCGGGAGGGGGAGACCCTCCCTCCCAAGTGCACCCTCCACGGAGAGGGCGCGGCCCCGTGGGGAGCAGGGGGTGGGGGGCTCTGCCCTGCAGCCGGCTTGGGCCCCACCCCCTTGAGCCGGGGGACGGGCTTACCTTCTGTGACACACTCGGCAAATGGAGAAACCAGTCTACTAGGCAGCTGGGCTGTCTGACTACATGTCTGGTATCTAGATCTCAGGGGGAACTCGGGTTTTTTTTACGGCATGGTTTATTTTCATCCAAAAGCTTTGACCTCGGCAGGATGACCACGCACCCCTCCATGTGGCAGGAAATCCTGCTCAAAATCTATTTCCGGAATGAAAGAATGGCTGGGATCCAGATTGGCCCTGGGTCTACACGGAAGGTGGGGGCAGACAATCAGGAGGCGCCCCACGGCAAGCACACCCAAGCTCGCCGCCCCACCTGCAGAGTGCACCCGGAGTCTGTCCACCTCCCCGGCCCCCCAGGTCTGCTCCGCCTCCTGCCTTCCCTCCCCACCACCCACTCTCCACCCAGAGGGTTCCGGAAGCACAGAGCTCATCTCCCCGGTCCAGGTGTGACCCACTTCTCCAGCTCCTGGTGCATTTACAGTAAAAGCATCACCATCTCCCGGTCCCTGGAAGAGGGTACCATCTCCATGACCTCAAGCCACCCCCAGGGCACACCCTCATGGGAGCACAAGGCACAGGTCCCAGCCCCGCTCCGTGGGGCCCCACGCCCTGCGGGTGTGTGTCCTTTCCCCGCAGAGCCGTGTGAGCCCTGACCCCATGGCCCCTGGACCTGCACCTGCCTCTTCCCTTGCTCACTCTGCCCAGCCAGGCCCAGCTTCTGCCAGGTGTGCCCTCCCATGGTCCTGGCCGGCAGCCCTCCTGTGCCCACTGCACCAACGCCGTTACTTTATGTCCCTTTCTTCTCAGCAATTCTCACTCCCCAGAGTGCCTCATGTCTCCCTCTCTCTCTGTGACTGTGCTGTCTCCCCCCACCCCGCCTGAGCAAGCTTCCCCGGGAGCAGGGGGCCGTGGCAGCCTTATCCTCTGTTGTTTCCCCACTAGGACAGACAGTGCTTGCCGACCAGCAGTCCTGTTGTCCTGTAGGATTCAGTGCTGAGACTCCCCTTGGCTCGGCTCAGACCCTGCAATTTTTATTTTATTACTTTTTTGTTTGTTTTGCTTTTGGGGAGAGTAATTAGGTTGGTTGGTTGGTTGGTTGATTGATGATGGAGGCCCTGGGGATTGAACCCAGAATTCGTGCATGCTAAGCACGTGCTCCACCACTGAGCTATACCCTCCCCTGTCCCGGACCTGGCAATGCCTGGAGAAATTTTAGTAGCTGGGGCACCTGACAATCCCCACTGCCCAGGTGGCAGAGGGAGCACCAGTCCAGCTGTTTGGAGAACTGGACTCTTGTTGAGATCCCGGGGCAGACAGATATTTATTCATCTTCCATTTAAGGAAATCTCCCTAATTACCTACTACCGCCCCCAAAAAAGAATATGTGGATTTAAACCCAGTTGGTGGATTCCTGTTCGTTGCCAATCATATTCTTATTGAAGCCGAGAGGGTCCCGTCTGTGGCAGGTGGGAGCCTCTTGGAGGTGGCCCCTGAATCCTTCAGCACGACTCGACCCAAGGAGCCTCTCTCGTCTGTCAGGCTCTTCCAGCCTCATTTGCTCACTTCCTGTCCCAAACTGTTCTCCGGTGGCCCTGACCTCTGTTAAAGGGAAACAGAACTTCAAGGTCACAGGGCCCCAGGACTTGTGCACCGGGCTGGTCAGGGTTGTAAGGCAGAGCTAGATATACTGGTAAGTCTTATATATAGAACAAAGCCTGTATCTGATAAAGTCACTTTGAGTTCCTACTGACATTTACAATGTCCAGTTCGAAGCCAGTCTCACTTCTCCTGTATGCCCTCTGCCGTCTCTCCATCTGTTCAAACTGAGAAGCCTCGTTCCCAGGAGACAGGAGACGCCCGAATTAGACCAGCCCGTAATCACTCAGTTATCCACACTGGACTTCGATGAGGCCCATTCTGTCCACACTGGACAGACAGTGGCTTTGCTGACAGCAGGGTGACATTAATACCGTCACCATCATCGTGATGTGGAGAAGGTTGGTGTTTTGCGTCTGGGTTGTCCCGGCTGCACCGTCTGCAGTGTGGGCCCACGTGATCGTGGCATGTTACATTCCTTCCCTATGTACTCTCGTTTAATTTTCTCCTAAGGAGCTCCAGAGTATTTCTTAATTCCCCGCCTGGACTTGCTCAGAAGGTGCCTGCGAGGCCGCCTCTGAGCACAGACCGTAGGTGGCCCTGGGCCGCACGTCAATCAGGTTTAATTCAGAGTAACTGCAGGCTCAGGGCTCATGGCCACCCTCACACTGGTGACCAACGGCCATCCGGCTATCTGAAGCCCACCCTCAGGAGACCCTTAGGAAGTGCTCCTGTGACCTGCATCCCTGCAGGTCAGCCCCAGTCTGTCCACACCCCTTACGCTCAAAGTTCGTTTTTACTGGATATAAAACTCTCCCTTACGTTTTTCCCTTGAGCGTCTTAAACACGTTGGCCACTTCCTCTGGCATCAAGCCACTGCTGTCAGCTACCTGACGGCGACCTGACCTTCCTCCCCTGAGAGGCCATGTGCTCCTTTTGCCCCATGACTGAATTTCCTGTGTCTTTGATGTGACCCTATACGGTTTGCTGTGAGCTGTCCTAGGTCCTGATTTCAGGCACGTGCTGAGCTCGTTCCATAAGCTGTTTCTTTCCTTTTTTAAACAACAAAAAAATGTTTTAGTATCGTTTTCTTGAATTATGGTGTTTGGTGTTTGTTCTGTTTCCTCGTGTGGTTTTCCTCCTCGGGGATGTCTGTCATCCATATATTGGGTAATCCTTGCCTGTTTCAGTATTTCTCATTTTCTCCCAGGCCCTTTTCTCTTCCTTTTTTGTGTTCAGTTATTTCCTCATTTTCACTTTCCACTTTCTTAGCGTGCTGCTTGTGGTCTATACACTCTTATGTTTCTCCAGTTCAGCTTTTGTTCCTAAGAGATCTCCATTTCCGTTGTCCGCGTGTCCTGGCGGTCCTTGTCTGTGTCGTCCTAATTCTGACTTAGGCTTTCTTACTTGTCTCGTGTCGTTTCACGAATGTCTGTGGGTCCCTCTGAACCAGCCCCGCGTGTTTCTGTCTTTAGGGCAGGTCTGTCATTGTCTGTGAGGACCTTTTCTGCTTCTGGCTCTTGTCTTGTAGTAACTTGGTGACATCTGACCGTGATGTCTCCCTGTCATTCATTCTGGTACTTTAGTTTTCCACGAACCTGTCCCAAAGGGTCCTGATTAGGTCCTGGACCATGAAGCCCCTGGCTGATCCCATACCTGGTTCTGGTGTTTGTTCCTGTACACCTCCCAGTCTCTGCAGGTGGGCAGGCAGCCGTTTCCTCAGCATCCTTTAGCGTGGGGGGCAAAAGGGCCCAGTCGGAAGAGCCCACATGACCCAGCACAAGGCCCGAGCTTACACTTGCCACTTTTTTGCAGCTTCGGATTCATCTCTGCCTGGAGAACCCTCCCCACCCTGCACGGCCCCTCCTGCTCCAGGCCTGTCCACCTGGGCACGATCACCCAGCCTTGCCCTTGCTCCTCCACATGGCCCTCAGCCGGCTGGGGAGAGAGGCGCGGGCAGGACCCCGTCCCGGCTTCCTCTGTGCCTGGGCCGGGCTCGCTCCAGGCCTGAACCCGTGATGCACGGCAGCAGGCACCCCAGAGGGCCCCCCTCCTCCTGCCCCGTGGGTCTGCAGACCCGGAGCCTCTTCTTCTCCGAGCCTGCCTGCGTCTGGCTGGCGGGGCCCACACCTGGGAACAGGCTGTGTGCTGGGGCGGCCACACGCTGTCCACTGCGGAGCCTCGTACTCACTCACTTCCGTTCGAAACCGCGGGAACTGACTCCGGACGTCCATCGACGCCAAGTGGATGGGTCTCCAGGCCTTTGGAGCCCCATCCGAGCCCCTGCATTTTAATTCATTACCGAAGTGAAAGGTCTGTCCTTGATGGGGGGGGGCAGGGTATACTTATCACCTTCAAATTCCTCAAGCCCATGTGCTCGTCACACGTGAGCTTCCATGAACTGTGAGACACTTAGAAACAGGCGGTTCTCCTTCAGGGCCCAGCACAGCAGGTCTGGCACGAGGGCCGTCTGTGCCTGGAGGTGGGCACGGACCACTCTGGATTCAGGGTGTGGCCAGGATGCCTTCTGGGCAGGTGGGTGTCTTGGACGTGAGTCCCCGGGGACTGAGAGTGCCCCGTTTCCAGCCCTAGAGGAACAGCAGTGGCCTCGTGTCTCGTGCCCACAAGACCCTGGACAGCCTGGACGTTGGAGGCTGGTGTCTGTGACCTGGCTTCCTGAGATCACGTCTGAAGGAGGAGGGAGCAGCTCGAAGGTCCCAGGAGCTGAGCACGGAGGTCTGCCCTCCTTTGGGACCCGCTGGGCCCTGCCAGGCGCCCCGCGTGCTCCGAGCCGCCCCAGGGCTGAAGGAGGTCGCACGCTGACCCTTTGCTGGGTCCTGTCCGGGAGCTGCAGGAGCTGAGCAGCTCTCCCCGGGGCTGATGGTTCTGGGCTTGAAAGCCGGAGGGGAGGAAGAAAAGCAGCGGGTTCCCTGGCCAGGAGCCAGGAAGACGCACCACGTCCACAGGCCCCGGGGGCCGTCCGCACCACCCGGCGGTGGCCTCTGAAGGCGGCCCGGCCCCAGCACCCGCTCCCCAGCCGGCCAGCAGCAGGCCCGGCTTCCCCAGAACTCAGGGACCCTCAGTCCAGCGCTGCCTTGGACCTCGGGCCCCACCGTGCCCTCCTCAGAGGCTGGAAGTGAGAAAAAACACAGAAACTTGCTCTCCAGACGGTAAACCCCCACAAACCACCACCAGTCTTCACCCTTATCTCTCAGCACCCGCGCCCTCACCCTGAGCGAGACCGACGTGTCTGCTTCCCTTTCAGGTGAGGTGGGGACTGAGGCCGATTCGCTTTGGAAAGTGGAGAGGGTGGGGGGGGGGTGGGGGGAGGGAGGAGGGAGGGAGGGAGGAGGGACTTGTCACTCAGCACACCCTCCCCGTGGAACCCTGTCTGCTCACAATCCTGCACGTGTATCAACAGCCTCTCCTCCAAACCCCGAAGCTCTCACCAAACACTGCTTATGGCAACTGACCCACAATCTCTGATGAAGGGAGTGACTTTTCTGGGCAAAGACCCTTCGGGCCAGTGGTTCTCACCCTGGCTGCACGTCGGCACCCGGGGAAGCTTTAAGAAACATGGGTGCCTGCGTCCCACACACCTCAACATGACGACGCATTGCCATGGGCGGGGGCCTTGGGACTCTTTTTAAACCTCTTGCTCTCCAGGTGAGTCTGAGGCGAGGCCAAGGAGGAGGTCGCCGTGCCTCACCCCTGGGGTCTGACACGAGGTTCTGGAGAGCTGGGAGGCGCTGCAGGGGCCCGAGGAATGCGGGGCCAGGCCCGTTAGTCCTGTGATCACCCCAGACAGCCCCACGCCCCCCACACCCACACACACACATGTGCACCTGTCCTCACGCGCGGGCATGTGCACGTTCACATGCACACGGTGGGCTGTGGAGCCTGGCTGCTGTGTGCCCCCGCAGGGCTCTGACAAACGTGAGTGGGACAGTTACGGCCAGGTTGTTTCCGGAACAGCCAGTAAAGCTCTAAGAAGGTCGAGGGTTCCCTGCACCACTCACATCTGCCCAGAACTGGGTCGCATCCTGTGGGGCCCAGCGTGCCTCTCTGCCAGGTCAAAACAGACGCCAGCCTGACCCTGGGGCATCACCGAACATTCCAGTGTGTTTCTGATGGACACTCCTGCCTGCCCCTAACAGAGCCGCTGGGTCAGCCCGCGGTGGGGGCCTGGTCCTGCGGCACTGTGTGGAGTTGCGGCAGACCACCCACCCCCCATGCGTTTGGGGTGAAGTGTCCACCTCTGGGCTGAGCGGGCAGAGCCCCGGACATCTCCTGAGTCCTGCGTGTAGCCTGCTTGCGGCCTCAGCCAGGAGACATCGTCCCAGGGAAGATGCCTAGGTTAACGCGGGCGCCTCTTATTTACTGAACTGACTGTAGGGGAAAAAAGGAAAACGCAGGAAGAACAGAAAAGAGAAACATGGCGGGGCCGTCTCCACACCACGTACACCCTGCACTGTGAAGGAAAC